GAACTTGCCGAAAAAAAACCGGTAGAATTCACCTGTCACAACAGCTGTACCCTTACCAGGGGTGTACTTCTGTCTAGACCGCGTCATGAACTTGTAATATACTTTATCTCAACAGAGAACTTACTCAAACGTTTCCTCAAGGTGAAATATAATATTATTTTTACATCAACAGACATATGAAAGCGCCATCTCTTTGAGTAATTTAAATCGATTGGGAAAACCAGTAAAAAGGATAAAATGATAAAATCATTGGGCTTCAGTCAGTCCCGACTGAGGGATGTGCCCCGTATTCGACTACCAGTCAGAATCGTAGTGGCGTAATAATGCGTATGTGGCCTCTACAATGACTTGCGGTGGCCAGCCGATGCACAAGTCAGTGCTTCTATCCTCCCAGACGGGTCTGTTACTAATTAACCGACCCCGGAGGGGATGGAAGGCTTGGTTGGCCGGGCGGATAGGGCGGATATTCATCTAGGACTCGATCCTGGGACCATGCGTCTGCGATAGTGCGGCACTTGTCACCATATCACATTTATCCCTAGAACACTCATTCAGTTCAGCATTATTACCGAAACGTTTGAAAAATGTTCAAGTGATGTTAGCCAATGAGCCTTAACGAAGAGAAGGATTTTTTTGTAATCCAGTGGCCCGTATTAGTGAATGACCTCTTAATTACAATTAAAGTGAAGTTATCAATCTCGGGTGCCAGCAATTTCGTTAATTACCTTGTTTTTCAGCAAACGAGTCGAATAAAATAGGTGGTTTTCAGCTAATAATCAAATAAATGGATGCCAATTAAATAAATTTTGAGTGATATTAGTTTACTCTTAAAATTGATCCAATTCAATCCAATTGAAAAGAATGCTTTAGGGAATTTAATTAATTTCGAACAAAAGGCTATGCTGCCGTTCATGATGTACGATTAATATAACGATTAAAAACGATTAATATAACGATCGGTCGATAAAAAATGCGTTCATTGTTAAACACGGATTGACTGAAGCGCTTTTTCCCATTCGCCATGCTTGAGACAACAAAAAAAAACAGAAAAAGTTTCTTACAAAAACCGCTGGGAAAAATTTCCATGGCAAAATAAAAAAATAAAAAGGTAGAAAAGGGATTTTTTAACTACTCGTAAGGAAAGTTTTAAATAGGGAGCTGCTGAAATTTTTCTGCTTTTCGAAAAATCAAGGTAACGGACAACGACAGAACGGCGAGATTGGGCGCTCGAATGGCGGTACAAAACTGCGTGAATGGGCGTTTCCACGGCTACCAGAATATGAAATTACGAATAAAAAGAAATTCAGTACGAAAGCAGTTTTCGCTTTCTTGGAGACAACAGCATAAAGGATTAGAGGATTGCAATAAAATGATACAGAATAAAATGGAATTAAATAGGATTAACAGGAAGTTTTAATTTTTAGTTGTTTTGGGGAAAAAAGTGATTATGAAGGAAGTATTGGCGTGGGAAGATCAAAAAGGTTGTGCACGTGCCCGTATGGGTACAATGATTAGACTTGCAGATCCGTGAATTTGGAGATCCGGCATTCTGAGGGTTCAAAATTCCGATGGTTTCGAGGCACAGTCTTTTTCCTTCCATCAGGGCAGTTTATAAGTGCTTGAACTCAGTTTGCATCAGAATCACTGCTTTGTCTTTACCCAAATTCAACTAGTGAACCTTGAATGGAGACCAACCGTGAATCTTTACATGGGGGCCAAACAACCTGCTTTACGGCCCGCTTAATAATTCCTTAAGGGAATTGAATAAGTACATAGTTCCGTAAGTGGTTATCGCCCTTCAGGTTCTGAAATGGGCGGTAGGGCAGAAATGTCAGTCAAATAAATCGTTGCTGTCAATCATGACTGCCAACTGAATTACTACTACAATCTGTACTGAATCGAAAAAAACTGCTGAGATTAGGTGACAGCCGAACTTGGACGGATAGACACTGGGTATTCGAGGAGTAGTATACAATTTAGAAAAAAATATTTTAGGTGATCGATTTTTTGAGAGTTTTCGTCCACTAATCTTCTTCTTATCCTTTTTTCCTGAAGTTTCAAAAGAGTAAATATTACAATGAGGTCTTTTATGGGAGACAGTTCCCAAACTGATTAAGTGATCAGTGGGCAAATCAGGGCTGATCAATCCGCCGTAAACAGCCGGGTCCGGGAACTTCTCCCTTGTCACGGCGTCGCACACGCCGCACCCGCCGCGTATCGCAGGATTGCGACGGAAGATTGGAGCGCGCAATTTGTGAGGTAGGGAGTCCTTTAATTATTTGAATTGGCTGACCGCTCTCTTCAATTTCAATGCAGTCTTGATCGACGCTTACATGGGAGGAGTCATTTTAATTAATCAAGTCTAATAAACATGAAAACTAAAAAGAAACAGAAGAAAAAACGATAAAATCCAATGAAAAAGCAAGCCAGTCAAGGAAAAATATCGCGCCCTATCGATTTTCGGGAGGCGAGGTGAGTACGGTAATTGCAGTGACATTTGCCGCATGCCGCAAGGAAGAATGCCGCGATAGGGGAGAAGTTCCGTTACCCTAAACAGCCATACACATTCGACCGCCGATACGGTCATCGATATCCTCTGGTACAGTACTCAAGCCTGGTGCCTTGTTGTTTAGCACCATGACTTTCAGGCTGAAGCTATTATTCAACAGTTCTCCTACCACTCAGACTAGTAACAACTTGTCGAGTAGAGGACATCTTGGATGGATATCTCAGGTCCCGTCTAGCATAAAATTGTCTAGTTTTCCCGAAATCTATAATCAGGACCATGCTTTCGCGCTTCAATGCGAAATAACCAGCTATTCAGGTGGTGCCATAATGTTATTTATTTATTGGTTTTTGATTACTCCAGTAAAATTATCGAAGCGTCGGAACTTTTTTGAGATAGAATTCTGAAAAAGGAGTTGGTGTGGCTGTAAGGCAATCCAAACGATTCATGGAAGCCTCTGAACAATGAATGCTGTTCTTGGCTCACAACCCCTGAACATCGAATCTCTCCCGTCCTTCTGACTGTTCCCATTTTTTGACTCACACTTTTGTTTGCACTTAATCAGGCATTCGTATGTTACTTGTTCTTTCCAAGAGTTCCATTTTTAAAGTCTATTGAAAGCCTTTTAGCAAGAAAAACTATTTACAGAGACTTTACAGAAAAAAAAACTGGCAAAAAAAGTTATCAGAAAGTTTTACATTGACGTCATATCAACGTCCCATTGGGTACCACCCAGTTGACGGGTGAACATAACCGAAACTGCTGATTACGAAGACGAGACACAGTAGTTAACTAAATTACTACGTACCCCATACAAAGAATATGCCTCATATAGGATCTAGGATCGAGAAAACAAAAAAGTAAAAGGGTAAGGTCCAGAGAATGGAAAATAGCTGTCCTTCGATGATCATCGACCGCGTTCTGAAGCGGGCCACACATCACACATCTTAAACTATACTTCCCTCTATTACCGGGCTAGGAAAAAAATGCGAAATAAATACAAAAAATAAAAAATCAACGGTTCAAAGGTGCTGCTGTTTGGAATGTGAGATAATTGGAGAATGAAAGTGCAAACTTTGGAAATTCTATAGAATGGCAAATAGTGCTGAGTTTCGGTCTTCAAAACTCATTTTTTTGTAATTATCGATTACCCTAACGTCTTCGAGTGACTTTAACTGTCTACACTTCAGCAGTTTCAATTTGTAGTCTGAAAAACGTTTCAATGGCGATTTTCTAGCCTACGGGAGCACATGTCTGGGAGCTACATAAATGCTTCCTTCTCTGATATAGAGTAATTTGCCAGGCAGATTCGGTTTCCTTCCGCTTCGGAATTTTTTCTTCAACTTCAACAAAAACGATGGTGGTGTAATGACAAGTGACGTCATGGTCATTTATGATAGGACCTAATTACCCGAGTCATCTATTTCAGGGAATTCTTGGATGGGGTTGGAATGATTGAGCTGGCCCTGTCTGGAATCGACACAGTACGGAACTACTAGGCTTTTCCCTAATAGATCTCTGGAAAGAGCGATCTGTAGGTTAAATGTTCACAATCACGATTTTGCAATCGCAAAAAGAGGTGGGATGCATGGCTTACCCCAACGGAGCAAGGTGGATTACCTTTCCTCTTCCCCTTGGAGGTATATTCGTAGCACTACTCCTACACCGTAAAAAAGTCCAAGGCTCTCTATCTGTTTTCCCTACAAAACAGAAAGCAACTGATTTTCCAATTACTGTAGGTATTTTACGAACGTTTGGGAAGTGAAAAGTACGATCTGATAAATTTATCTCGTCTATCTCTACCGACCGTTGTGAGCAGTTAGAACAAGACGTTAGAAAAAAAGATTTATTCACATTATTATTCACTTCAATTTATCTGTAATAAATCTTCAACAAAAGTGTTCACGAACGTATCACCAACCACTGGATGTTCGTCGTTCTGGACCACTGTGGAGACCTTCATAGCGTTGAGAGGATAGACGTCCCTAAATGTACGCACTGATCAGCATGATGCCCTTCGGAAAGCAAGTAGTGTCAGGGTCTGCAAAAAGCCCTGCCCAAATCTGCATTGGAGTGGTGGGACTTGTCGCTGACTAATATGTAGAGGGAAAAGGTAAGGTGCATGCAAGCACATGTTCATGATCACTACTTTGCACGTGAAAGAATTGCCCGTTCCTAAAAAGGTCACCATATCGGCTCCAACGGAGGAATGTGGAGGCGAGTGAAAGTACTAAACTCTTCAGGTACTATCAGGAATATTCTATCTGAAAAACCCAAGCACAGCTGGATTGCTGCCGAGATCTGAATCAAGCGCATGGCGCATTCTAGAAAAACTAAACTCTTGATGACTGTTGACAAGGTTTGAGTCCATTCCAGTCTAATGCGCTTAAGTAGTCATCAGAAAACCATGGAAAATCAGTGAGCGTTGGAGGAGGGTTCAGTGGAAGGGAATCTTCAACACGTATTCTACTGATCTCACTATAAACCTAAGAAGTTAAGTAACTGTAACTAACCGGTTTACTGTAACTCCACAGACAGTCTCCACTTGGCCAAATTGTTTCACCGTTGGTTTCGTGAATCTGGCAAATGGACGGAAATCATTGAAGTTTGCAGGAGTTTCACCGCGTACGCCACCGCCATTCACACTCCAGTACCTGAACACATTGGCATACATTTTTCGAATCAAATTTATACACTATTCTATGAAGATTTTGATGTCGGGCCCACGGTGGACGAAATTCATAAGAAAAAGAAATGGAGGTCGTAAAGATCTATTAGATATCCTTTTTCAATCGAAAGGAATTAATCAGTCGACCTACCATAGTTGAGGTCCGTTCACGAATGCATTGTTGGTAATCTGGCTCCAATCGTAGAAGCTGGTGTAGAAGCCAAGGCCAATACCGTATTTCTTAAAGTATGTCGATCATAAATAGGTCAGGAACAAACTTTTCCAAACCCAATGCCAAAGGTCAGCCTAGACCCTACCACGGAGAGCATAGGGCGGACAGTTGAAGTGTTGTGTATGTCAGTTGTCTGGATTCCAAGAGGTTCTCTCGAGGGTTTCGCCTACTATCAAGAAGTACGCACATGGATAGAGAGCCGACGACTCTCCTCTATCCCCGTATACTTACTAGGGAAAAAGATGGGGAGAGAAAGGGAGCTAGCTCACTATGGACGACTACACCTCCTAAAGGGGTTTCACCTTCTCGATGACAGGCCATTGCGAAATCTGTGTAGGAGACTTCATCTCAAAAAATTTCAGGTCTATCAACAAAGAAATCAAAGAGACAATACCTTTGCAGCAGCCATGACTTGATTGAGGAAGAACACATTGTTTTGCGTGTAAGGATCCCAATTTTGTGGAGAAGTTACCTGTAATCAGGGACTTTAGCTAGTTCTGAGGCCTACCCAATCCTGATAAAATTAAGGCTGCACTGGGACATGAGCGAGTCATTGAGGGTTGAAACGGATCGCCACAGACGCTAGAAAGTTGCCACTCAATATAGGCTATCTGTTCAGATCGTGTCTTGGATCACTCTAATTAAATATTCATGGCAGACCCATTCAACGGAACTTACATCCATTCCGCTATATTTATTATGACTTACTCTACCTCCATTTCATCATCCCCCCTTACAATCCCCGCTCGTCTCCCCTCTTGAACAGTAGGACCAGATTTCTTACCTGAATCCAGACCTTATTGACCTTGATTCCTGCGATATTTAGGTTACTCAGGAC